GTGTGGTGAGTCTGTGGGTCTCTGCGTGGTGAGTCTGTGGGTCTCTGTGTGGTGAGTCTGTGGGTGTCTGTGTGGTGAGTCTGTGGGTGTCTGTGTGGTGAGTCTGTGGGTCTCTGTGTGGTGAGTCTGTGGGTCTCTGTGTGGTGAGTCTGTGGGTCTCTGTGTGGTGAGTCTGTGGGTGTCTGTGTGGTGAGTATGTGGGTCTCTGTGTGGTGAGTCTGTGGGTCTCTGTGTGGTGAGTCTGTGGGTGTCTGTGTGGTGAGTCTGTGGGTGTCTGTGTGGTGAGTCTGTGGGTGTCTGTGTGGTGAGTCTGTGGGTCTCTGTGTGGTGAGTCTGTGGGTGTCTGTGTGGTGAGTCTGTGGGTCTCTGTGTGGTGAGTCTGTGGGTCTCTGTGTGGTGAGTCTGTGTGTGTGTCTGTGTGGTGAGTCTGTGGGTCTCTGTGTGGTGAGTCTGTGGGTCTCTGTGTGTGGTGAGTCTGTGGGTCTCTGTGTGGTGAGTCTGTGGGTCTCTGTGTGTGTGGTGAGTCTGTGGGTCTCTGTGTGTGTGGTGAGTCTGTGGGTGTCTGTGTGGTGAGTCTGTGGTGTCTGTGTGGTGAGTCTGTGGGTCTCTGTGTGTGGTGAGTCTGTGGGTCTCTGTGTGGTGAGTCTGTGGGTCTCTGTGTGGTGAGTCTGTGTGGTGAGTCTGTGGGTCTCTGTGTGGTGAGTCTGTGGGTCTCTGTGTGGTGAGTCTGTGTGATGAGTCTGTGTGGTGAGTCTGTGGTTGTCTGTGCGGTGAGTCTGTGTGGTGAGTCTGTGGGTGTCTGTGTGGTGAGTCTTTGGGTCTCTGTGTGGTGAGTCTGTGTGTGTGTGTCTGTGTGGTGAGTCTGTGGGTCTCTGTGTGGTGAGTCTGTGTGTGTCTGTGTGGTGAGTCTGTGGGTCTCTGTGTGGTGAGTCTGTGGGTGTCTGTGTGGTGAGTCTGTGGGTGTCTGTGTGGTGAGTCTGTGGGTCTCTGTGTGGTGAGTCTGTGGATCTGTGTGTGATGAGTCTGTGTGGTGAGTCTGTGGGTCTCTGTGTGGTGAGTCTGTGGGTCTCTGTGTGTGGTGAGTCTGTGGGTCTCTGTGTGGTGAGTCTGTGGGTCTCTGTGTGGTGAGTCTGTGGGTCTCTGTGTGGTGAGTCTGTGGGTGTCTGTGTGGTGAGTATGTGGGTCTCTGTGTGGTGAGTCTCTGGGTCTCTGTGTGGTGAGTCTGTGGGTATCTGTGTGGTGAGTCTGTGGGTGTCTGTGTGGTGAGTCTGTGGGTGTCTGTGTGGTGAGTCTGTGGGTCTCTGTGTGGTGAGTCTGTGGGTGTCTGTGTGGTGAGTCTGTGGGTCTCTGTGTGGTGAGTCTGTGGGTCTCTGTGTGGTGAGTCTGTGTGTGTGTCTGTGTGGTGAGTCTGTGGGTCTCTGTGTGGTGAGTCTGTGTGTGTCTGTGTGGTGAGTCTGTGGGTCTCTGTGTGGTGAGTCTGTGGGTGTCTGTGTGGTGAGTCTGTGGGTGTCTGTGTGGTGAGTCTGTGGGTCTCTGTGTGGTGAGTCTGTGAGTCTCTGTGTGGTGAGTATGTGGGTCTGTGTGTGATGAGTCTGTGTGGTGAGTCTGTGGGTGTCTGTGTGGTGAGTCTGTGGGTCTCTGTGTGGTGAGTTTGTGGGTCTGTGTGCGATGAGTCTGTGTGGTGAGTCTGTGGGTATCTGTGTGGTGAGTCTGTGGGTCTCTGTGTGGTGAGTCTGTGGGTGTCTGTGTGGTGAGTCTGTGGGTGTCTGTGTGGTGAGTCTGTGGGTCTCTGTGTGGTGAGTCTGTGGGTCTCTGTGTGGTGAGTCTGTGGGTCTCTGTGTGGTGAGTCTGTGGGTCTCTGTGTGGTGAGTCTGTGGGTCTCTGTGTGGTGAGTCTGTGGGTGTCTGTGTGGTGAATCTGTGGGTGTCTGTGTGGTGAGTCTGTGGGTCTCTGTGTAGTGAGTCTGTGGGTCTCTGTGTGGTGAGTCTGTGGGTGTCTGTGTGGTGAGTCTGTGGGTCTCTGTGTGGTGAGTCTGTGAGTCTCTGTGTGGTGAGTCTGTGGGTCTCTGTGGTGAGACTGTGGGTCTCTGTGTGGTGAGTCTGTGTGATGAGTCTGTGTGGTGAGTCTGTGGGTCTCTTTGTGAGGTGAGTCTGTGGGTCTCTATGTGATGAGTCTGTGGGTCTCTGTGTGGTGAGTCTGTGAGTCTCTGTGTGGTGAGTCTGTGGGTCTCTTTGTGAGGTGAGTCTGTGGGTCTCTGTGTGATGAGTCTGTGGGTTTCTGTGTGGTGAGTCTGTGTGGTGAGTCTGTGTGGTGAGTCTGTGGGTGTCTGTGTGTGGTGAGTCTGTGGGTCTCTGTGTGAGGTGAGTCTGTGGGTCTCTGTGTGGTGAGTCTGTGGGTCTCTGTGTGTGGTGAGTCTGTGGGTCTCTGTGTGTGGTGAGTCTGTGGGTCTCTGTGTGGTGAGTCTGTGGGTCTCTGTGTGGTGAGTCTGTGGGTCTCTATGTGGTGAGTCTGTGGGTCTCTGTGTGGTGAGTCTGTGGGTCTCTGTGTGTGGTGAGTCTGTGGGTCTCTGTGTGGTGAGTGTGTGGGTGTCTGTGTGGTGAGTCTGTGGGTGTCTGTGTGGTGAGTCTGTGGGTCTCTGTGTGGTGAGTCTATGGGTCTCTGTGTGGTGAGTCTGTGGGTCTCTGTGTGGTGAGTCTGTGGGTCTCTGTGTGGTGAGTCTGTGGGTGTCTGTGTGGTGAATCTGTGGGTGTCTGTGTGGTGAGTCTGTGGGTCTCTGCGTGGTGAGTCTGTGGGTCTCTGTGTGGTGAGTCTGTGTGTGTCTGTGTGGTGAGTCTGCGGGTGTCTGTGTGGTGAATCTGTGGGTGTCTGTGTGGTGAGTCTGTGAGCCTCTGCGTGGTGAGTCTGTGGGTCTCAGTGTGGTGAATCTCTGCGTGGTGAATCTTTGTGTGGTGAGTCTGTGGGTCTCTGTGTGGTGAATCTCTGCGTGGTGAATCTCTGTGTGGTGAGTCTCTGTGTGGTGAGTCTGTGGGTCTCTGTGTGGTGAATCTCTGTGTGGTGAATCTCTGTGTGGTGAGTCTGTGGGTCTCTGTGTGGTGAGTCTGTGGGTCTCTGTGTGGTGAGTCTCTGCGTGGTGAATCTCTGTGTGGTGAGTCTCTGTGTGGTGAATCTTTGTGTGGTGAGTCTCTGTGTGGTGAGTCTGTGGGTCTCTGTGTGGTGAATCTCTGCGTGGTGAGTCTCTGTGTGGTGAGTCTCTGTGTGGTGAATCTCTGTGTGGTGAATCTCTGCGTGGTGAGTCTCTGTGTGGTGAGTCTGTGGGTCTCTGTGTGGTGAGTCTCTGCGTGGTGAATCTCTGTGTGGTGAGTCTCTGTGTGGTGAGTCTGTGGGTGTCTGTGTGGTGAGTCTGTGGGTCTCTGTGTGGTGAGTCTGTGGGTCTCTGTGTGGTGAGTCTGTGGGTCTCTGTGTGGTGAGTCTGTGGGTCTCTGTGTGGTGAGTCTGTGGGTCTCTGTGTGGTGAGTCTGTGGGTGTCTGTGTGGTGAATCTGTGGGTGTCTGTGTGGTGAGTCTGTGGGTCTCTGTGTAGTGAGTCTGTGGGTCTCTGTGTGGTGAGTCTGTGGGTGTCTGTGTGGTGAGTCTGTGGGTCTCTGTGTGGTGAGTCTGTGAGTCTCTGTGTGGTGAGTCTGTGGGTCTCTGTGGTGAGACTGTGGGTCTCTGTGTGGTGAGTCTGTGTGATGAGTCTGTGTGGTGAGTCTGTGGGTCTCTTTGTGAGGTGAGTCTGTGGGTCTCTATGTGATGAGTCTGTGGGTCTCTGTGTGGTGAGTCTGTGTGTCTCTGTGTGGTGAGTCTGTGGGTCTCTTTGTGAGGTGAGTCTGTGGGTCTCTGTGTGATGAGTCTGTGGGTTTCTGTGTGGTGAGTCTGTGTGGTGAGTCTGTGTGGTGAGTCTGTGGGTGTCTGTGTGTGGTGAGTCTGTGGGTCTCTGTGTGAGGTGAGTCTGTGGGTCTCTGTGTGGTGAGTCTGTGGGTCTCTGTGTGTGGTGAGTCTGTGGGTCTCTCTGTGTGGTGAGTCTGTGGGTCTCTGTGTGGTGAGTCTGTGGGTCTCTGTGTGGTGAGTCTGTGGGTCTCTATGTGGTGAGTCTGTGGGTCTCTGTGTGGTGAGTCTGTGGGTCTCTGTGTGTGGCGAGTCTGTGGGTCTCTGTGTGGTGAGTGTGTGGGTGTCTGTGTGGTGAGTCTGTGGGTCTCTGTGTGGTGAGTCTGTGGGTCTCTGTGTGGTGAGTCTATGGGTCTCTGTGTGGTGAGTCTGTGGGTCTCTGTGTGGTGAGTCTGTGGGTCTCTGTGTGGTGAGTCTGTGGGTGTCTGTGTGGTGAATCTGTGGGTGTCTGTGTGGTGAGTCTGTGGGTCTCTGCGTGGTGAGTCTGTGGGTCTCTGTGTGGTGAGTCTGTGTGTGTCTGTGTGGTGAGTCTGCGGGTGTCTGTGTGGTGAATCTGTGGGTGTCTGTGTGGTGAGTCTGTGAGCCTCTGCGTGGTGAGTCTGTGGGTCTCAGTGTGGTGAATCTCTGCGTGGTGAATCTTTGTGTGGTGAGTCTGTGGGTCTCAGTGTGGTGAATCTCTGCGTGGTGAATCTCTGTGTGGTGAGTCTCTGTGTGGTGAGTCTGTGGGTCTCTGTGTGGTGAGTCTCTGCGTGGTGAATCTCTGTGTGGTGAGTCTCTGTGTGGTGAATCTTTGTGTGGTGAGTCTCTGTGTGGTGAGTCTGTGGGTCTCTGTGTGGTGAATCTCTGCGTGGTGAGTCTCTGTGTGGTGAGTCTCTGTGTGGTGAATCTCTGTGTGGTGAATCTCTGCGTGGTGAATCTCTGCGTGGTGAGTCTCTGTGTGGTGAGTCTGTGGGTCTCTGTGTGGTGAGTCTCTGCGTGGTGAATCTCTGTGTGGTGAGTCTCTGTGTGGTGAGTCTGTGGGTCTCACCCTCATTCTCTCCTCCCAGGCATCATAGTCATCCACCAGCCAGGGTCTCTCTGCAACGCACAAAGCCTCCAATCAGACGACCACCGAACAAAAACAATGCTCCCCCGTGTAGCCTGTAACAGGCCGTAGGGGCAAGTGCTGTTAGTGAGTAGCAGCTCCTACGAAGGCCGGCAACGGCACACGAGGGGGTGGGTGGCCAGCACCACGCCCGGCCGCCTTTGTCTCCCCAGTGGCGATGTTGACTACACACCGCATGGGGTGCTCGTTTGAGGCTGAGTCGACCTAATGGAGGGCCAGGATCGGTTCAGATAATCGCAGTCACTGAAGTTGTTGGCCGTGAGCGGGAATCGAACCTGGGCGGCCGGGTTCGTAGCGCTAACCCGCTACAATACGCGCACACACACATGTACACACACACACACACGTACACACACACACACGTACACACACTGCACCGTACACACACATACACACACACACACATACACACACACACGTACACACACTGCACCGTACACACACATACACACACACACATACACACACACACTGCACCGTACACACACATACACACACACACTGCACCACACACACATACACACACACACACGCTGCACCACACACACATACACACACACACTGCACCACACACACATACACACACACACACGCTGCACCACACACACATACACACACACACTGCACCACACACACACACACGTACACACACATACACACACACACTGCACCACACACACATACACACACACACACACTGCACCACACACACGCACACACGTACACACACATACACACACACACTGCACCGTACACACACATACACACACACGTACACACACACACACACATACACACACACACTGCACCACACACACTGCACCACACACAGCACCACACACACACACACTGCACCACACACACTGCACCACACACAGCACCACACACACACACACTGCACCACACACACACACACACACTGCACCACACACACTGCACCACACACAGCACCACACACACACACACACGTACACACACACTGCACCACACACACACACTGCACCACACACACACACTGCACCACACACAGCACTACACACAATGCACCGTACACACACATACACACACACACTGCACCACACACACACACGTACACACACACGTACACACACACGTACACACACACGTACACACACACTGCACCACACACACACACACGTACACTGCACCACACACACACACGTACACACACCACACACACACTGCACCACACACACACACACACATTACCACACACACACATTACCACACACACACATTACCACACACACACATTACCACACACACACACTGCACCACACACAGCACTACACACACACAGCACCACACACACACTGCACCGTACACACACACACACTGCACCACACACACGTACACACACACACACGTACACACACACACACGTACACACACACGTACACACACACACACGTACACACACACGTACACACACACGTACACACACACGTACACACACACACACACATCACCACACATACACGTACACACACTGCACCACACACACACACTTCACCACACACACACATACACACACACAAATACGGCACCACACACACACGAACACACACATCACCACACACACACAAATACGGCACCACACACACACGAACACACACATCACCACACACACACACTGCACCACACACACACACACACGTACACACACACACACGTACACACACACACACACGTACACACACACACGTACACACACACACAGCACCACACACACACAGCACCACACACACACTGCACCGCACATACACACGTACACACACACATACACATCACCACACACACAAAGATAAAGATCCCCCATATAGCCTTAACAGACTGTAGGGGCAAGTGCTGTTAGCGAGCACCTATGAAGGTCGGAACGGTACATGAGGGGGTGGGTGGCCAGCACCACGTCCGACCGCCTTTGTCTCCCCAGTGGCAATGTTTACACACCACACCAGGTACTCATTTGAGGCTGAGTCGACCTAGGGGAGGCCCGGGACCGGTTCAGATAATCGTCACTGGTGTTGGCCGTGAGCGGGAATCGAACCCGGGTCGCCAGGTTCATAGTGCAGCGCGCTAACCGCTACACTGTCGCTCCCCTACATACACACAGTGACACACACACACAGTGACACACACACACACAGTGACACACACACAGTGACACACAGTGACACACACACAGTGACACACACACACACACACGTACACAGTGACACACACAGTGACACACACACACGTACACACACACAGTGACACACACACAGTGACACACACACGTACACACACACAGTGACACACAGTGACACACACGTACACACACAGTGACACACACACAGTGACACACAAGCACATACACACACACAGTGACACACACACAGTGACACACAGTGACACACACACAGTGACACACACACACACACACGTACACAGTGACACACACAGTGACACACACACACATACACACACACAGTGACACACACACAGTGACACACACACGTACACACACACAGTGACACACAGTGACACACACGTACACACACAGTGACACACACACAGTGACACACAAGCACATACACACACACAGTGACACACACACACGTACACAAACACAGTGACACACACACACACAGTGACACACACACGTACACACAGTGACAAACACACGTACACACACACACACACACAGTGACACACACACGTACACACACACAGTGACACACACACAGTGACACACACACAGTGACAAACACACGTACACACACACACACAGTGACACACACACGTACACACACAGTGACACACACGTACACACAGTGACACACACACAGTGACACATACACACAGTGACACACACACACACAGTGACACACACACACAGTGACACACACACACACACAGTGACACACACACACACAGTGACACACACGTACACACAGTGACACACACACACAGTGACACACACACAGTGACACACACACAGTGACACACACGTACACACACACACACACAGTGACACACACACGTACACACACACACAGTGACACACACGTATACACACACACACACAGTGACACACACACGTACACACACACACAGTGACACACACGTACACACACACACAGTGACACACACACGTACACACACACACACAGTGACACACACACGTACACAAACACAGTGACACACACACACACAGTGACACACACACGTACACACAGTGACAAACACACGTACACACACACACACAGTGACACACGTACACACACACAGTGACACACACACACACACAGTGACACACACACGTACACACAGTGACAAACACACGTACACACACACACACTGACACACACACGTACACACACAGTGACACACACGTACACACAGTGACACACACACAGTGACACATACACACAGTGACACACACACACACACAGTGACACACACACGTACACACAGTGACACACACACACACACAGTGACACACACACACACAGTGACACACACACACAGTGACACACACACAGTGACACACACACACAGTGACACACACACACAGTGACACACACACAGTGACACACACAGTGACACACACACGTACACACACACAGTGACACACACACGTACACACACACAGTGACACACACGTACACACAGTGACACACACACACAGTGACACACACACAGTGACACACACACAGTGACACACACACAGTGACACACACACAGTGACACACACGTACACACACACGTACACAGTGACACACACACGTACACACACACACAGTGACACACACGTATACACACACACACAGTGACATACACACGTACACACACACACAGTGACACACACGTACACACACACACACAGTGACACACACACGTACACACACACACAGTGACACACACAAGTACACACACACACAGTGACACACACGTACACACACACAGTGACACACACACGTACACACACACACAGTGACACACACACGTACACACACACACAGTGACACACACACGTACACACACACAGTGACACACACGTACACACACACACAGTGACACACACACGTACACACACACACACAGTGACACACACACACAGTGACACACACACACAGTGACACACACACACAGTGACACACACACACAGTGACACACACACACAGTGACACACACGTACACAGTGACACACACACACACAGTGACACACACACAGTGACACACAGTGACACACACACAGTGACACACACACACACGTACACAGTGACACACACAGTGACACACACACACGTACACACACACAGTGACACACACACGTACACACACACAGTGACACACAGTGACACACACGTACACACACAGTGACACACACACAGTGACACACAAGCACATACACACACAGTGACACACACACACGTACACAAACACAGTGACACACACACACACACAGTGACACACACACGTACACACAGTGACAAACACACGTACACACACACAGTGACACACACACGTACACACACACAGTGACACACACACACAGTGACACACACACGTACACACAGTGACAAACACACGTACACACACACACACACAGTGATACACACACGTACACACACAGTGACACACACGTACACACAGTGACACACACACAGTGACACATACACACAGTGACACACACACACACAGTGACACACACACAGTGACACACACACACAGTGACACACACACACAGTGACACACACACACAGTGACACACACACACAGTGACACACACACACAGTGACACACACACAGTGACACACACACAGTGACACACACACGTACACACAGTGACACACACACGTACACACAGTGACAAACACACGTACACACAGTGACAAACACACGTACACACACGTACACACACAGTGACAAACACACGTACACACACGTACACACACAGTGACAC